GGGAGGCATACAGTCAGCAGCACCCTACCACCCACAGCTTTAAAGTAAGGGAGATATCTACAAGTATCTCACAGATTCGACCCTGTCACGCCTGAAATCCAGAGTTTTCCCACAGTACCAACCTTCTAGACTAGGGGTTCCCAACCAATGGTGTTGGAACCCCCGGGAAGTGCGAAATGAGGGTCCAGGGGGTGCGCGGAAGAAGCCTATACAAGGTCCATTTTACCCCAAATGTCGCGAGGGCCACAAAAGGTTGGGAACCACTGCTCCAGACACTCACTGTAAGGCATGAATGAATGTGAAGCCACTGTTCAAGATCACATGATAAGCGCGATACTGTTTCGCTGGACATAACCTGAAAACATCCTACCTCAAAATTATAAGTCTCATGAATTTTTATCCTTTCATCAAATGTGCATTATGCATCTTATAGAAACTGGAAAACAGAATTTAGAAATTACGTTATTTCTGATCTAACCCCGATTTCATATATTATGAACGTATTACCACCGAGGGAAATAAATGTTAATTTTACAAATATTCTGTTCTTAATGATTTTTAAGTATTATCTTCCAAAGTTATTTCTAATTTTTAACATAAAACTAGTTGCTAGACCTTCCACCCACAGAAGACATATTTATTATAAAATACAATACACTATGTTTTTTAAACACGAATCAATATACACACGTTTTTTAAACTTTAATTTTTTGAACCCACTTAAAAACATTTTCTATTTATAAAATACGTTCACTTCTCGAGTTTAAATACATATTTGGTCTGTAAAGGAAATCATTACTACGACGGAGATATTTTAGTGCGTAATGCATAGATGTCGCTATACAAATGTTTTACATTTATTAGGTATAGGACTAAAATATTGAAAAGCTAATCGTATCAGATTTTCTTTGCCACACAGATATTCACAAATGATAAACAGCCAAAGAAGTCATTTCAAAATATAGGAGAACTAACAAATATAGAAAATACAGGAGAAATGAAAGGACGGATTTTTTAGCCAGATTTTGTTTTAAAATTCCGTGAAATGTCGTCAACCCCCAATTCGCCAAACATTTCGAGATAAAATACAATGAAAAAAAACATTCAATGAATTCGGTTTAATAAAACTTCAGCTTTATGAACAACTTGATCAAGAATATTTATTTTCCCCTTTATATTTGTATCAACAAAGAAAAATATCAGCTTTCAAATGTTCGGTATCTTGATTTCTATGTGAATTTATATAAAAGTGGCTCACAATGACCATCCAAACAGTGAAAAATAACAGAGTTGAGAAAAATATTTTATGTAATAAAAGTCGTGATATCAAGCAGGCATCGGCATTATTTTGATTCCAAGACTTTTATGGTTTAAAAGTTATAATCTACTCCGATATTTTGCACGGTTTGTCAGATTTTACTAGATTGCTTGAATCTCGAGAGAAAAACGAAATATGTTTTATGACAAAATGGTAGGTAAAATCAGAGATTTTACCTTATGCATAACCCTTTTTTTCATTTCGTGGTAAACCTTTACTCTCCAGCTCAAAAGAATAACATGATAAGCTAGATAAAAGTAGTTATCAAAACAGTAGCGCAATAAACTACATATATATCTTTATCTTGGATTAACAGTATAAAAAAACACGTCTTTCATTTTAAACATCGCAAGATATTTTGTAATACTTTCAACGTAATGCATGCATTATCCGTTTTAAATTACATTTTACAGTTGAAACATCGAATTTCCCCACAGCCTACAGAATTTACTTCAAATAGTTTGTTAAAAAGACTCAAATCGTTAATGTATTAACTTTTTATTTTATTTTGGAATATCATTCAACAGAAATTGTCCAAATCTTATACTTAACGTACAAGTTAGAAAGAACTAGTTTCTATAAGAAATAAAGTAACCTGTGTTCCAAAAACATGTTAGAAAGAACTAGTTCCTATAACAAATAAACTAACCCGTGTTCCAAAAACATGTTAGAAAGAACTAGTACCTATAACAAATAAACTAACCTGTGTTCCAAAAACATGTTAGAAAGAACTAGTTCCTATAACAAATAAACTAACCTGTGTTCCAAAAACATGTTAGAA